GAGCATATATTGACTCAGCGTGGAGATAACAATTGATAGAATGGATTGTCAATGCTTACATGTTCGGTGCTACTCTTTTTATGATAACTAATGTATAGTTATGCCTATTAGCTCAAATTTTCACAGTAGATGAAGGTTCAAATCCTACATAGGCTATTGATTATATTATGTAAAAAGACAGCTTTATTAATAAAATTTGACTATCTTATCATCATATGTTATCTTCATCATACTACAATATAGGATACAATGCAAGCTAAATAGTTGTTTATGCACTTTGATGCTAACAAGCTACTACATACAATGACCAAAACACAACTCATCAATGATAACAACACACAAGCATTGTTGTAGCTTAGGCTATGTGGGACTTGAACCCACACCATGTACATTATTGTACATTGCTCTACCCTTTTAAGCTAATAACACACACACACACACACACATATATATATGGACAATCCTTCTATCTGTCCCTTGGTTGCTTAAACCAAATATTGAAATAAAAGAAAATCTTGTTGACAATAACATAAATAAGAAGAATGACCATGAGTCCGTGACACCCTTAAAACAAACAAAGTATCTTAGTCATAGACAACATTAATTAATGTCAAACTGTCTAAGGTGATAGACCACATTCTTTAAATTGAAAGTAATAACTGGCTCAAGTTGACATGTTCAAACCTAAGCCCAATAGAAGTTCAAGTTCTTAGAACAAAGGGAGTATATAGCCTTACCTTATTATTTGCACAATGATCGTCTAATATGCATCGTGACCCTTAAATAAACTAAACAACCTTATTCATATACATAGTAACTCCTTTTGGAATCATAGTTGCTCTATTATAACAAAAGAGTAAATAAACACTTTCATTAAAAAGAGTTGCTACATCTCACAAAATTAGGAACATAATAGCATATAGTGATCCTCTTATTCACATATTGAGACTTAAATAAACTAAACTCCCATTTTGAAAATAATAGCCTTTTTTAAAATCATAATTACTCTATTTATCTAGAGTGATGCTTTGAATAAAAAGAGACTATAAATCTATAATCAATATTTGCATATTCTACTTTGCACTTCCTTGATGTTAAGCAACAGGCAGTAGCAACAAACAAGCGAGCTTGCCTAATCTTATCATAAACCACCACCCCCTAAATTAAATAACACCACACTCACCTCCCTACATTCAACCAATCCACCACACAACAGCAGCAACAAAATTTCTAACCCCCTAAATTAAGTTCCAACTGCTACCACCAACAATTCCACCGACGACTGCTATTAGCAGCCCACACATGTCATCCTGTTAGGTTTTACAACAATTCAAAACTAAGAATTACTTAAAAATTGTGGGAACAAAACCTAAACCGTGTATAACAATCAAATACTAATCAAAGTATTACAACCAAACACCAAAATTACAATGTATTTCAGAAAAATACAAATGAAAACACTAATGTAAAAGATTTTAGACTTGCCTCAACTCCAATCCTTGATGATGATGAACATGAACACGAGAAAACTATGTCCACTTGAGTCTCAAACCTTGATACACTGTCAAAGGCGTGTAAACATTTTTCTAAAGAGGTTTATTTCCCCCACACGGTGCTTGGGTTAAACCGGAAATCCTCTTTGAGATACAATTGACAGCAAACTTCGTTCTTAGCACTAGAATCGAAGTACGATGAAGAATTCACAATGAAAGCTAAATTTCAAGAGTTTTCTCACAATACTTTGCAAGAAAATTGAGAGAAAATGTGGAGATTTCCTTTGGAGAGATAAGGTGAAAATGTGTTGTCCCTTTCTTCCTCTCACGAAATTCTCTTTTATAAGAGAAATAACCGTCAGCAAATAACCGTAAAACTGGGAAGAAGCGCGGGTGCGACACAAATAGGCGCGGGCTCACCTCCTGGAGTAGCGGACGCTCCACATGGAGGAGCGGGCGCTCCACATGACGGAGCGGCTCCACTTATTGGAGCGGGCGCTCCTCCCAGAATCTTTGCGAATGAATCTTGAAGACAGTGAGGGGCGCGGTTTTAGCACGGTCTGAAGCGCGGGCGCCCCCCCATTTTCATTCAACATGCTGATTTCCAGAGAGGTGCGCGGTTTAGGCGCGCTCTCATCGCGGCCGCGCCTACCATGCGCGGGCGCGCTTAACATAGGCGCGGGCGCGCACCATACAACACTCTAAATCATCAACACACCTCACCAACATTGCCGCACCAACCAGGCCTCACAAACCACCACACACTCGCCTCACTTGCCCAAGACATAGTCTCCTTAAACACCAGCAAAATGAGTCAACAAATAATCAGTTTAGAGAAGCAAATTTTAGTTCGGATCATTACCAATAATCTCATTCGGTGGTTCAAGCTATCAACATATGCCATAAACGGTATAGAAAGCAAGAAGTATACAGTTTATTCTAAATAGTGTTTACAACTAGCTGCTAAGCTCTTCATAATCAACGATCACCAAACTACACTCTCCAAATTAGCAAATACAGTAAAATACGAAATCAAAACCATAAATAAATTAATTAAATACCTAATTATAAAACATAAACAGTGAAATTGAAATTAATCATGAATTTTAAAAACTATAACCCTAATTCGTATATAATAGGTTTAAGTGAAGCCAAAAAAAAAAAACCTAATTCGTAGATACTAGGTGTAATTGAATCTAAAAAGCCAGAAGAAACCTTCAAAAAACCGAATAACACCAGAATAAAACATGAATCGAATAAACTAAAACCTTAGATCTTCACAAAATCTTCAATACAAAACAAAATTCAAACAAAAAATTCATGTAAATAGCTTTAATTGAAGAAAATCAACTATTAATCAACATAAAAGTATTAGAAATCAACTCGAAGAAATAATCGTACCAGAACAGCGTCCAAAGAACGGAGGCCTTTTCTCCTTGTAAACGTTCCAAACCTACTGTTCTTACCATTGAAGAAGAAATTGAGCAATCTTGAAGTTGTAGTTGTGAAGAGAGAGAAAGCCTTGAAGAGAGAGAAAATGGAGGAAACAAAAAAAGGGGAAAAAAGGAAGAAGGTTATAAATACAGAGTAGAAAATAAGTAGTCTGAATAGGTTGCCTCCTCCCCCACGCACATGAGAGGTAGCTGGTCCACAATAAGTTTATTGTGGATCAGGTTTATTTAAGAATTTGTATACAAGTAAAGGACTTGGGGAAAAAAAACACATTATTTACTTTTAATTTTGATATATTTGACTAATTGAGATAGAGTATATACTTATGAGATTATGGAAAGGATTCCGGAAGAATGTGTAAACATGATTTCCATTTAAATATACTTGTATTACTCCCTCCATTTTGATTAAAAAATGGTTTGCGCTTCACGCCCCAACCCCCTTAACTAATAGATGTTTAGATACCTGCAACGGAAAAAGGAGAAAGTGACGATGGCAACGCGCCTCAAAGAGGGAAGGGGTCCGAACAGCCTTGTACGTACGCTGCCCGAGCGAAGAAGTTATTCTTTAATTCCAAAAAGTCAAGCCACCATTCTTCAGTGATGAGCTCTAGCGAAAAAATTTTATGTGTTTTTCTCTGAGATAAATGTCTTTCCACTAGAAAAAGAAAAAACGAGCCAATTATGAGAGTGCTTTTATAGTGGATGTTACATTTCATTAGTCGTTAGTGTTTTAAAAACAAGAAGGTGAATTTCTATACGTATACTCTCTCCATTCTTGAAAGTTCGAGTTGTTTTTACATTTTCTTTTCATTTTAAATAGTTCAACTCTATTCTATTTTATTCTTTTTTGAAAAACCCCTTTCTCTAGCTTACCCTTCTTACCCTATACTATTTACACCTAATTTTTTTTTACACTATCTCTTAATTTATCCATCTATTTTGTTACACCCCCCCCTTACACTCTTTTACATAATCTCTCTTAGTTTATATGCTTTTTTTTTTCTCTCCCTCTTATTCTCATTCACTTTATTCAAGCATTCCTAAAAATAAGAGTATAGTAAATGAGTCATATTTTCGAAAAAAGGAGAGTGAGTATATATATATATATATACATATATATATATATATATATATATATATATATACACACACATAAATGGGATCATGTGAGAACACATCCCTTATGTGAGAACACTTTATATATGAGAATAGTTTATAACCATTGGATCAAACAAGATCCAACGCTCCACATCTACCCCGGTCAAAATATAATGGCATTACTGTAAATTATAGATTGTATATAAGAAAAATTAAAAAAAATTGTCCAGCTTTTTCTCTCTCTCTAGATATTGATCTAGGTCTTTCCTTTCTCTTCTTTCCCCAAAACTTTCTGAACGAATACTGCTTTGATCGTAATGCTGAGATATCTTTGAATTTCGACTTGAACCTACAACTATAGTTAGGTATTTGATGTTTCAATTATTTTTTCCTTTGATATTTGGCTTCAATTGTTCAAATTTTGGTATTGAATAAGGTTTTTGTGATTTTGTTGAAACCCTAGAAATCGCGAATTCTTCATCAAACGGATTCAACCGAAGCTATTGTTACTTATGAACGAATGATATGATGTAAGTATCAATTTATTGATTTTGGGCATTTTACTTTGTTTTTATGTTCTAAATTTTCTCTAAACTTATTCAATTTTTGCGATTTCTATTCAATTTTTTTAGTTTCTTTGTTCCATTATTTATCTGTTCGAAAATTGCAATTCATTTAGCTTAGTAACAAATTGAGTGATAATGGTTGCTTTTAAGAAGACCTTGTGTTGTGTAAAATTGTTCCTCAGAATCCCCATTAGTTGTTCTTGTGTTGATGGTATGAGGAAATCAGTGTCTACACATTACTAAACCTGGCCTTCGGATTCTCTTTCCATTATTTTTGACGATTAAATCAGTATTCATCAATTGTGTTTATTTTCTTATTTAGCTTTGCATATTTGATTTATAATTTTTTTTTATTTAATCATTTGGGCTGTTTTTATTGCAGTTTACATATATTGTATGTGTTTATTGAAAGATACTGTATGTGTTTATTGCATTTTGTCAAATGAGCAAAATAATTATTAACCTATAGAAATGTATAAAGCATGGATTCCATTATTAATGCCCTGTATGGTTCAGCCACCAACGTTTGCATATTTTTGGAGACACCATATGCATTAAGAATCATAGTGAAAGTGTACAATTGTATACTCATGTTAGGTGGCCATATCCATGCTATAATGAACCTTATCCAGCTGAAATAATGTAGAGAAAATTCTCCTGACTAGCAACTAGTAAGGGTTGTATGAGCTGTATTAAAGTTTATTGAAATAATCTCTTTTATTTAGTTTCATGTATATGCTTTTTTCAAATTATAGATGATGATTATAAAATTTGCTTTCAATATGTAGGCATATGGGTATCATGAAATGTATAATGCATAACTAGTAAGGGTTGTATGTGCTTATTGCATTTTAGCCCTTTACCATCCTATTTTCCTAGATGCTTGTCTAAAATAGGGGCATGTAAGTCTTCTTTATGGATTTCATTGATATCTCTCTGCTTTTTTTGGCTGGTTTATCAGCATGTCACTGTCTCCTTTTTGTGGACTTCTCTGACTATCTTGAAGGATTGTCTGTTATTTTTAGCTCTTTTTGATAAATTTGTAAATGAAGGTCTGAAGAATTCTTATCATAAGGTTTCAGGTTATAAGTCAAATTGATGTCTAATTACAGTCTGCATCACATTTAAGATGTCAGCCTCATTTAATTTATGGTGTTATTGGTGATAACTATTGATGTAAAAGAACAGATATATGTGCACCTCGAGAAGAAGTTTCAGGTTCATTGCAGTGATTGCACTCTTAGAAACACAACGGATTTCGAAGCTCAATTGTTTGAGGAGTTTAGGTTGGTCACTTTTTGGTACTTTGCATCTAGGCGGTACCAGAAGTAAGTTCATTCAAATCTAGATGTGATTGTATAATACTGTTGTCATGTGTCTGTTCCTGCCTACCGGTTCAAAAACTTAGTGTTCTAGCTGTTGAAGGCTCTTTTAGGCTGTTAGGCTTCCTAGTTGATGGTGCTTTTATACCCACAAGGACATCTTTCTTCGTACAAGGCTACTGTCTGGTTCTGGTCATTTGCCCATATAAATTTCCCAGCCAAACTGTTTGCTCTATTCTGCTAGAAAATTCTACTTTGGTTGCTATTGATAATTGGCTCTATTGACTGATAATTGGTTCATCAATGTTGCATTCTAAACTTTGATTATATTTACAATTGACTTGAACAAGGCCTTAAACATGCTATCACATGTTATAATATTACGTTTTGCTCATCAAAGTGCGCTAAGTCATGCCTTTTAAATAGTTTGCTCATTTGACAAATGATAAAAACAACAATAGAGATTGTTTATGTCGTATGATGTAGACATGTGTTATACAAAGAGGAAACAGATGCAAGATTTCACCCTTAAAATTGGAACTGCTCTAAGAAAATTGTTGTTCCCTTCTCCAGATTCTCCAAAGATTGAGAGCATAGACTAGAACCGTATAGGAATGGAATCATCGAGGGAAACTGCTGGCAGGAAAGTTACGCAGTGGGTTTTCCTTAAGTAATTCAGTTTCTCTGCAAGATAGTATTTCAGTTATAATTTGGAATGCCAAATCAATAACACTTCAATAGCAGTTTGGGAAAACATACCTTTTGAGGTTAACTTCTTCCCTGTCCTTCAATTGGGAATTTGTAATGCTTTGAGAATCACTAGTTTGTTGCAATCTGTACGAGATAGTGAAAAATAATTCGCCATCCTATCAGGAAGTTACAGGTTTCTCATGCAACCAGCATACTGTAAATTAAAGAACTAAGAGTTGCAAGTTTCTCATGTTACAATTTAAAAATGATGTATTTGATCATGTTACAATTCTTTGAAGAACTTATTCAGTAAAATTTATACAACTTACATTCACTTTACTAAAATGCATAATCAATACTTACTCTGAACATTCCTCATCAACAAACACCTCAATGGCAGAAGTGGCAACTCTTCCAAGTCTACTGCCGGGCCTCTGCATAACCTGTACATGGTAGATTGTTAGATCTTGCTACTGCATCTATCCAGTGTAACAGCCAATCCAAGAGCCAACAGATCTTCCCTTAACTGTGAGCTGCAAACACATATTTATAAGTATAGATTAAGATGTCTAGTAATGGAATGCATTCAAAACAGAAAAAACTAAATGCATGCAAGCTATGCATCATTTTTACTGTATCAGGAAGAAGATATTGACAATTAACAAACATCATTGATGGAAATTTCTTATTCTTAAGAGCACTAGGTTGTTATTAGCTCATGCCAATGTGCCATACATCATCACGGAATCCTTCAAAATCAGTACGTAACCTATGACGTAACTCACATATACTTGCAAAATTTTCCAGATGCTAGCAGTATTACAGTATACTTGCACAACCTGTAGTCTTCCTATAAAAACTCACAATTCACAACTCTCCGTAGATCAAATTTCTGGTTTTCGGTTCCAAATAGGATGCCGGGAACGATTTTCCACAACATTCTAACCTAGGTAGTAGCATCTCAATACCTTCACCATTGAAATGCCTTCAATCATTCTCATAACCTTCACTATTGAAATGCCTTCAATTATCAACTAAAATACCAATATTTAACTTTAAAAACTAGTCCTATCAATTACAACATAATACGATTCATTCATGCAATAATCAGAAACATGACTAAACAAAAATATTCAATATCATCTGTAGCAATTATCAAACCACATGTACCCTAATTTATCTCAGGTGGAATTTGTTGTAGCAACAACAACAAAAATACAAATTCCAGATAAAAATTGATCATCTAAATTCGAAAATCAAAGCGATAATTAATAAACAAAATACAATGAAATCAACAGGCAAAACAATTAAATCAAACAACAATCTCGGGAAATTCGCCAGTCAAATTACTAACCTACTGGGGTCGGCAATAGGAGCAATGCCGGAAACAGTACGATTGAAGAGGACGGCGAGGAGAGAGAAACCGCCGACATAAATAGGCAAGCTACGAGCAACATTGTCGTTGACAGAGACCCAGTCAACGACCAAATTTGTGGTCGGTTTCGGACCATTGTAGCCTTCCGACTATACAATAAGCTCCAATGTTGTAAGTATAAAAGCTTGCTGAAAAAGCTTGAGGTCCAAAAATGGGGGAAATAGAGAGGAGGGAGAAAGGAAGTACCTGGAAAAAGTTGGAAATGGAGAGGACAGAATGGATATGGAGGTCGTTTGATGTGATTCGTTGATGACGTTTGATCCTAAGGCCTAGATTTGTTCTCATATATCAGTAGTGTTCTCACATAAGGACCTGTTCTCACCGAATCCCGACCCTTTAGTAATGTAAGATCATTTAAATGAATATATAGCATATACTTGTATATATTAGGAAGAAATATATATATATATATATATATATATATATATATATATATATATATATATATATATATATATATATATATATACTTCGAATCCTTCATCTATTTACAAGTATATGCTATATATATACTTCGAATCTCTTCCTAATATATACAAGTATATGCTATATATTCATTTAAATGATCTTACATTACTAAATATAGTAATTTTTACCTTTCAGGTCTTTACGATTTAAGATCAAAAACGAATTAGAAAACGGGAGAAGGAAAAGAGACATTTTAATGGTGAAGGGACAACAATTAGAAGTGCTTAATGCACTTGATGTTGCGAAGACACAATGGTACCATTTCACAGCAATTGTTATTGCTGGTATGGGTTTCTTCACGGATGCACATGACTTGTTTTGCATCTCCTTGTTGACAAAGCTTCTTGGTCGTATTTACTACGATGTACCAGGTTCTGGTAAACCAGGAGCATTGCCTATCAATGTCTCTGCTGCTGTAAGTGGAGTTGCCCTCTGTGGGACTCTAGCAGGCCAACTCTTCTTCGGTTGGCTCGGGGACAAGATGGGGAGGAAGAAGGTGTACGGTATCACCTTGGTTATGATGGTTGCGATGTCTATTGCCTCTGGTCTCTCCTTTGGAAGCACTGCCAAGGGTGTTATGACAACACTTTGCTTCTTCCGCTTCTGGCTAGGATTTGGTGTTGGAGGAGATTACCCTCTATCTGCCACCATCATGTCTGAATATGCTAACAAGAAGACTCGTGGAAGTTTCATTGCCGCTGTTTTTGCCATGCAAGGCATGGGTATCTTGGCCGGTGGGAGTGTATCCCTAATTGTTTCATTTGCATTTGAGGCCAAATTCAAGCCTCCCCCTTTCAAAGTCAACCCTATTGCCTCCCTCCCATCGGAGAGCGACTTTATTTGGCGTATTGTCTTGATGTTTGGGGCTATACCTGCAGCCACAACATACTACTGGCGTATGCAGATGCCTGAGACTGCTAGGTACACCGCTCTTGTGGCAAAGGATGCTAAGCAAGCTGCTTCAGACATGTCCAAAGTCCTAAAGGTTCAGATTGATGCCGAGGAGGAAAAGGTTGACAAAATAGCAAAGAGTGAGAAGAATCAATTTGGGTTATTCACAAAAGAATTTGCTAACCAATACGGTCTTCGCCTCCTAGGATCAACTAGTACATGGTTCTTACTCGACATTGCATTTTATAGTCAAAACCTTTTCCAAAAAGATCTTTTCAGCTCCGTTGGATGGATCCCACCAGCAGCAGATATGAAAGCTATTAGGGAGGTGTATATGGTAGCAAGAGCTCAAACCTTGATCGCTCTTTGTGGAGCAGTCCCCGGCTATTGGTTCACTGTTGCTTTCATAGCGTAGTTGGACGTTGGTGGATTCAGATGATGGGATTCTTCTTCATGACAGTTTTTATGTTTGGATTCATTATTATGTATGGGCAACAAAAGGAGAACCGTATTGGATTCATTATTATGTATGGGCTTACCTTCTTCTTTGCCAACTTTGGTCCTAATGCCACCAGGATCCGGCTAAGAGAGATCATGCTTATCCCGCTGGTATGGGGAAGGGTAAATCCCTAATCGTTCTTGGTGTCACCAACTTTATTGTTATGCTTTGCACTTTAATGGTTCCTGAATCTAAGGGTAAATCACTTGAAGAATTAGCTGGTGAAGGGGTTGAGACTGATGAAGTTGATAATGACCGTAGGAGCTCCGCTTGATTTATTCTACAATGACTTGGAGTGTTTTTTTTTTTTTTTTTTTTTTTTTCTTCCTATTTTTTCCTTTTTTTTTGATTTTTTATACTCATTTTTGTTATTTGTATTGAATGCCAATTATTAGTTAAGATTTGATCTCGCTTGTTACTTGTATTTAAGCTAAATGGATCATCTCAACCAAAATCCGCATACCTTGCGCGAAATATTCCACTTGAAGGGGGGTGGATGAGATTCGAACCCGTGACCTTTGTGTAACGCTCGCTCCGATACCATGTTAATGGACCATCTCAACCAAAAGTTTAAACTAATGGTTGAGACCCATAAATATGTTTTATACTTTATCACTTAGTTCTTGCAACATTACTAAAAAAAACTTTGTTTTCTTTTCTCATTTCTTTCTTTTCCAAATAGTTATTCCATAAAATAAACATAGATGCTTTGTTTTGGAACTTCCTCATAATAACACTTGAAATTTCCGGCGAATATTTCAGGATATGTATCTAATCATTTATTTGAAAGGTTTTTCAAAAGAGAGTTAAATTATGTCAATGATTGTACTTGGGTAAAGTTTCATGTTATAGAGTGTACTTTCTTAACGAAATATCATGATATTTCAATTAAAGGATTATTAATAATATTAAAACAAGAGGTTGATATAAGGTGTGTTTTGAGGAATAATTCAGTAAAGACAAAGTTTTTAAAATAAAAACATTGTAGTTCTTCATCATTTGAAGCTACCAATTTGAATCATTTATTAATATGTTCTAAAATAATGAAAACTAAAATTTAAGTCAAATTATTACAGTAGAAGACTGTTAATCTCTATGTATTATTGTAGGTAAACTTGTTCCATCTCTGCTTAATCTTTTATACAATAACCTTTAATTTTAGTTCTTCATTAAACTTGTTTAAACTTAATATACCTAGTAAGAGCTCAAATGTAAGTTAGTCTTTTGCTTTATATATATATATATATATATATATATATATATATATATATATATATATATATATATATATATATATATATATATTTAACAATTTTGGGATGGGGGAGTAATAATAAAAAAAAGTAGATTTTATATAATTAAGAAAGAGAGAGGCATCGTAACAATACTTTCACTGAGTATGTAGTATAGTAGTGAGAAAAGAGAAGTAATTCGATATTAATGAGTTCATGACATTCCTCAAAAAGAAAAAAAAAAAAAGAGTTCATGACATAAATGAAAGTGTGACAATGAATTAAAAGGAGACATATATAATAAATTTGAAAAAGGGAGTACAAAGTTATACGGAGTACTTTGTATTGGAATATTCATTAGCTACTTTTAGTAGCAAAGTAAATAATTTTAAAACATAGATTAAGGCAAGCGGGTTTTGAACCCAACTAATCATTGGTGCTCAATACAAATTAAAGATAATTAAAAAAAAAATTAGCCTGGTATGTCTTGAATTAACCAAGGATAACATCTTCAAGTCACCATAGTATAGATCAAGCAGACTCCTTACGTTCATCATCAACTTCATCAATCTCAACTTCACCGGCTAATTCTTCAAGAGACTTACCCTTAGATTCGGGAACCATTAGAGTGCACACCATACCCAGGAAGTTGATAACACCAAGCACAATAAGGGACTTACTCTTCCCAATACCGGCGGGATAACCATGATCTCTCTTAGCAGGGTCCTTCTCTTGTGAGGCATACACAAATCCAAAGGCTCCTATAATGGCACCAGCTTTTCCAGTTGCTGCAGATATACCATGGCAGGTAGACCTCAATCTAGCTGGGAAGACCTCAGCAGGCACAACAAAGGTAGTGGCATTAGGACCAAAGTTGGCAAAAAAGAAGGTTAGTCCATACATGATAATGAACCCAATACGATTCTCCTTTTGCTGCCAATATTTGTAAGGAAAAGCAATAGCAAACATGAAAACGGTCATGAAAAAGAATCCCATCATCTGAATCCACCAACGTCCAATTACGTCTATGAAAGCAACAGTAAACCAGTATCCGGGGACAGTTCCACAAAGAGCGATCAATGTTTGAGCTCTTGCTACCATATACACCTCCCTGATAGCATTCATATCTGCTGCCGGTGGGATCCACCCAATGGAGCTGAAAAGATCTTTTTGGAAAAGGTTTTGACTATAAAATGCAATGTCGAGTAAGAACCATGTACTGGTAGTTCCCAAGAGACGAAGACCGTATTGACGAGCAAATTGCTTTGTGAAAAGTCCAAACTGATTCCTCTCACTCTTTGCTATTTTGTCAACCTTTTCTTCCTCGGCATCTATCTGAACCTTGAGGACTTTAGACATGTCTGAAGCAGCTTGCTTAGCATCCTTTGCCACAAGAGCGGTGTACCTAGCAGTCTCAGGCATCTGCATACGCCAGTAGTATGTTGTGGCTGCAGGTATAGCCCCAAACATCAAGACAATACGCCAGATATAATCACACTCTGATGGTAGGGAGGCAACTGCGTTTACTTTAAAAGGGGGAGGCTTGAATTTGGCCTCAAATGCGGATGAAACAATTAGGGAAACAATCCCACCAGCCAAGATACCCATGCCTTGCATGGCAAAGACAGCGGCAATGAAACTTCCACGAGTCTTCTTGTTAGCATACTCAGACATGATGGTGGCCGATAGAGGGTAATCTCCTCCAACACCAAATCCTAGCCAGAAGCGGAAGAAGCAAAGTGTTGTCATAACACTCTTGGCAGTGCTACCAAAGGAGAGACCAGAGGCAATTGACATTGCAACCATCATAACCAATGTGATACCATACACCTTCTTCCTCCCCATTTTGTCTCCGAGCCAGCCGAAGAAGAGTTGTCCAGCTAGAGTCCCACAGAGGGCAACACCACTTACAGCAGCTGAGACGTTTATAGGCAAAGCGCCTGGCTTACTTGCTCCGGGTACATCATAGTAAATGCGGCCTAGAAGCTTTGTCAACAAAGAGATGCAAAACAAGTCGTATGCATCTGTAAAGAATCCCATACCAGCAATCACAATTGCTGTAAAATGATACCATTGTGTTTTTGCAACATCAAGTGCATTTAGCACTTCTAGTTGTTGTCCTTTCACCATTAAATTGTCTCCTTTTGTTCTCCAGTTTTCCAACTCGTGGTCGACCTTATATCGTACTAGACCTGCAAGGTAAATTACATTATTTAGCTAAGGGATGGATAGTGTACTATATAACTTGATGAACACGAATTAATCGAAGTTACTATATTCAATAATTTATAATTGTAATTTGTAGCACATAGTTATATAAATATATACTACGTATATCATCACAAGACTATATATACGAGTATATCATTAAGCATAAGCTAGGACAAGAGAAATACTTATTCAGAGCGAGTGAGATTCATTACTAACCCTTTCGAAGAGGAGGAAAAAGCCGAAGTAGAAGAGAGATATTTTGATTTGTGAGGGAATTGGAGGGAAAAAAACACAAGTATTTAAGGGAAATCATGCTGAAACATTCTGCCGGTATCTACTCCGTAATCTTATAAGCATATACTCTTTCACGTTTCATCAAATACTTTTTTAATGGAGTTTACATTCAAATATATATGTTTATTATGAATGAAAATTTCCGCAATTGGAAATTCTTATGTTTCTTACATGACAATAAGAAAACAACTGTCCAACCATACATGTATATTTGATATATTTATTTTGGTATATTTTAATATATTCATTATTATTATTATTTTTTTTTTGAAAGGAATATATTCATTATTATTTTTGGTATCTTTTGTTAAACTACTATTATAGCTCTTAGTCAACTAGTAACAGACAGTGCATGCATCAGAAAATCTCTCATATTTTAGCTAAATTAGCTCCTTTAGACCCTGTTTTGGGGTTTTTTAGGAATCCCTCGTGATACTGATCTAAAATATAGCTGAACGATCGCGAACATCCGTAAAATAACGAATATTTTGGTTGACGGAATATCCGCCTCCAACGATCAAGTTAGTGACTGAAAAACGAAATAAATGTAGAGAGAGAAAGTAGAGAGAAGTTGGAGCTTTTAGTGATCTTGAATGATATGTCTTAATCTACCCCTCCCATCATAAATGATTGGAGTATTTATAGGGGTGGGAAAGTGTGCCCTTTTAGGGTTAGTGCCCTAAAAGGATGGACTCTGATTGACGGCGCAATCAGGTTAGGACATGTGTCCTATAGTGGCGCCATTTTGCGGCTTTAGGGATTTGGACCTCCTGATGTAAGGAGACATTTCCTCTCTTTAGTGTTCTCCTATGTTTGACACGTGTCGTCTTCCTATAGGGACACATGTCGCTCTTTTATTGGGCCATGTATCGCTATGAGATTAGACCACGTATAGGGGTATTTTTACCCTAAACATATGCCCCTTAGAGGGGGTGACTCGTACCATACAGGCCGCCTCCTCTGATCTTTATCCATCCATTATTGGCCAAATGTTTGGGCAGTACCGTCCGTCTACCCATGGGATTTTTCCTTTGGTCTGGCTGTCTTGATTGGTCCGCCTGATTTTATTAGTGGACCTGAGTCTTAAAATCAGGCGGACGGGGCGTGCCGACCAACTTTGGGTGAAACACCTGTCTTCCGTGATTTCCGAAATTACCGTTCGAATCCTGCTGACCAACTTTGGGAAGTCTATTTTGGCGCGCCGTTAGGGTGACCGTACATATTGATGGAGCAGTTTTCTAACCGTTTAAGCCTCTAGATTAAACTTTTCAAAAGTTACCATTTGAGTTTTTGGACGGGAGAGATGGTTTTACCATTTTGCCCTCATAAATTTGGCCTATAAATAGGACTTGTTTGACTTCATTTTGTTACTTTGGAAATTTGCGTATTCTAGACAGAAGTTAGGGCATTTTAGAGAGAGAAAGTAACTTTTTTCAAAAACCTTCGAGAGCTCCGCCGTGTTCCTTAAGTTTTTGAGTTTTTCGGTCAACCCTCAAGATTTTCAAAGACTTTCAAGGTTTTCTACATGTACAGAGGTAACCGCCTGCTCTTCCTCAATTCTTCCTTTTTTCTTTACTTGTTTTATTTTTATAAACAGTAACTAACATAACACTCGACTTCGTCCGTTTCTCCTCATAAGGCCGGTCGTTCGCCTGGGACTGTGGAGTCTAGAGTGGACCGGGACGAGTCTTTATCTCTATGGATTGTCCATTTCTAGTGCGTACCAACTCACCCCCACCTATTCTTCCCTGTCCTTGCAGTTGAACATGACGCGTACGATGCAAACGTACAAACGAGACGTCCCCAGAAACCCTAATGGGAGTATGGTGGACCTCCTAGTCCCCTACGATCCGAGCAATACGGACGGGGAGACCACGAACATAACAACTGTCAGTGGTAGTGCATGCTCCATGGTTGAGGTAATGGCCTCCTTTGAAGAACGCCAAAATCAACCAGGCACTTCTTCTTTAAGGGAGGCGTTGGGGAAGAATTCAGAACCACCCCTCTCACAACTTACCAGCTCGGTCTTGATGTCGTTCGAGCTACCATCTTCTGGAAGGCATCCTTTGTCTTTTCAAGCGAACGCTGGGGCGTCCGTCCAAATTCAGCAACAACCCTTAATCCAAACTACTAGGTTGGCCAAGCCTAGGAATGCATTCATATTGCAGAACCGGCCGACCTGCCTCCTCACAGCGCTCCTCCTTCTGGAAACCAGGCGGACGCTGAGGAAAGAAAAGATAAAGGTAAAAATCCCTTGGTGCCTGAAGGCACCATTGTTACTGAAGGCAGCCAGGGCTCCAGGGGATGGAGCGCAGCCGAGGTTGCTGAACTGGACACAGTGTTGTCCTCTAAATTTGGGGCTGCTCCCCAAGCTGCTGAAGGAGAGGCTGAGAACCCGGATGCCAATCAGGTAGCCGAGGAGCCCAATGCTGATAATTTCAAGGACTCGTACGCCTGTATAGTTAGCGACACTGCCTTGACCTTCCTGCACTTAAAAAGTTTGAGGAGTTCAAGAAGTTCCTCCACCTGGGAGAAGGCTACGAAATCGTAGCCTCACTCATTCTTACTCAGTGGCCGCTTGGGAGATCAAAAGGCAGTGGAAGAAATGCTTCAATGTCTACCGCGCTGCCTTGTAAGTAGGCCTTCGCTTCCCTCTTCATCCGTTCGTCTAGGAGCTCCTTGACGAGTACTGTATTGCAATTTTCCAACTGGTGCCGAACAATTGGTTAAACATTTTTGGCTATCTGGTGACGTGCCTTCGGCAAGGCTTTAAACTGGACTTCCCAGTTTTTTGTGAGATGCATTCCATGGTCCGCCTGGATGCTGGCACGGACGACTTGTTTATTCTGAGCACCTAGAAGGATTATACAGTGGTGATGGATAGGCCATCCAAGTGGCGAGACTGGAAGCACTGATTCTACCACCTTAAGAAAAGTGACGAAGAGTTTAATTTACGGATGAATCGGTTCAATGCCGACCCGATTCAGCTCGACCGCAGGCAGCAAAGACCTAGCAAGTCGCCTGTCCATCTTGATTACATGCACCAACTGGACTACTTTGGAGTCAGGAAGGTAGTTAGGGATGAAAAGACAGTGGTTGTGTCGCTCAATTGGATCCCGCTGGCCGCGTGGCTTAGGAACCCGGTATTCATGTCAGCCTGTGGCTTATATAAGAACTTCCCTCAAGGTGGAACCTTGTGACTTAGCCGTTCGAAAGTTATTTGTAACATGAAAATATTCTAACACCTTTCCTCTTCCTTTTCTTTTTCAGACGTAGCTCTTGGAATGCTGGATCCTGAGCAGGAAGGGGAGGTTGACATGTCCGAGCTGGACTTAGTGTGGTAAAAACTCCACCAACAGCAGCACAACCATGCTAAGGAGATACTGACAATATGTTCTTCTTCTTTTCTTTTTTTTTTTTCTTTTTTTTTTTTGTGCCGAGCTAGTGTGTTGGAGGAAGAATTCTTCCCCATTTCACTCAGACGCAATTCAACTTGCCTTCAAGCTGAGTTGATATGTTGGGAAGCATATCCTATCTGATTTCACTCGGACACCACTTTTATCTATGTTTACCGAGTTGATAGGTTGGAAAGGGGTTCCTTCTCAACTTTGCTCGAACGCTTACTTCATTTTATCTGACTTTAACTCGTTTCTTTTAGGCGGCCACTCCTACTCCTCGGTCGAAGAGAAAGCAGTCGTCTTCTGTTTCTAAGGACGACCAGTCGTTCAAATCCAGGAAGACAACAACCACAAAGGCTAAGTCTTCCACCAAGGCAGCCAATGTCACGCCGCAAACTGCTTCAAAGCAGTCTAAAGGAGAGCCACCCCAGCTGTCACCTAGTAGGGTCTCCAAGCCCGTGGATCCGTAAACTGAGGCGGTCCACGATGAGTCCGTCCATGCGGAATGGGGGTAAGTCGTCTTCGGCAAAAATGATCGGCAACTCGGCCTCAACTCCGCATGTCGAGGTAGTAGATAAATCTAAGTGGCAGAAAGCTGCTTCTTAGTCGACCGGAGAACAACGCGGCCGCACACAAGAGGAAGGGAATGAGCCAATGCCCCCCTCTTTCATTCAACCTTTCATCTCCTCCATCTTTCTCGGACGATATGTTAAACATTCATACGACTTTTACTTGTGTTTTTATGAACTTACTTGTTCACTCTAACACTTTTCCTTACTTTGTGCAGACATTGTCGAGGAGATGCACATGAAGCTACCTGACCAGAAAGCTATTAGGGAGGCCAAGCAGCGGGCCGTCCATAAGGAGCAGCGGGATAAATTTCGTGGCATTAATGAGGGCTTCCTTGGCCCAATAATCAACTGCAGCGCCGAGGTCGCGTCTCTTAACAACACTTGACTTATTTTTGCTTTCATACTTAGATTATTTTCTTAGTTTGCTTATGTTGACTTGTTTCCGTCCGAATGCAGATCTTCCTCAGGCTCAGTGCCTTCCTTGATTGAAAGGATAAAGAGAATGAGAAGATCAAGGCGGCCTGGACCACCATCAACCGGCTACAAGACGAGAACACCAGTACCCTGGCCCTGTAGAAGATCCATTACGAAACGGCCCTTAAGGCTCTCTTCGAGAAGTCAGCTCGGCAAAATGAGGACATCGTCAAGATTGGAG